TAAGCAGGGGGACACGTCTTGCACTGCAGTATTTGAGTCCCTGGTGGCGTAGTGTGTTACTGATGGTAGGCTTTGTTACTTTGGTCCCAGCTCTCTGCAGGTCATTCACTAGGTCCCCCCGTGTGGTTCTGGGATTTTTGCTCACCGTTCTTGTGATCATTTTGACCCCACGGGGTGAGATCTTGCGTGGAGCCCCAGATCGAGGGAGATTATCAGTGGTCTTGTATGTCTTCCATTTCCTAATAATTGCTCCCACAGTTGATTTCTTCAAACCAAGCTGCTTACCTATTGCAGATTCAGTCTTCCCAGCCTGGTGCAGGTCTACAATTTTGTTTCTGGTGTCCTTTGACAGCTCTTTGGTCTTGGCCATAGTGGAGTTTGGAGTGTGACTGTTTGAGGTTGTGGACAGGTGTCTTTTATACTGATAACAAGTTCAAACAGGTGCCATTAATACAGGTAACGAGTGGAGGACAGAGGAGACTCTTAAAGAAGAAGTTACAGGTCTGTGAGAGCCAGAAATCTTGCTTGTTTGTAGGTGACCAAATACTTATTTTCCACCATAATTTGCAAATAAATTCATTAAAAATCCTACAATGTGATTTTCTGGAAAAAAAATTCTCATTTTGTCTGTCATAGTTGACGTGTACCTATAATGAAAATTACAGGCCTCTCTCATCTTTTTAAGTGGGAGAACTTGCACAATTGGTGGCTGACTAAATACTTTTTTTCCCCACTGTAGGCCAACATGATGTTCTGCAGAATGAACAAGTCGTGTGTTCCACCTGGCCACCTTGCCACCACATTCAGCAGTGTTTTTTGCGCATCACATAACCTATCAATTAAATTTCTTTTATTGGCATGATGTAACAATGTACATATTGCCAACCTATCACCTGCACATTAAGAGTGGAAGCCTTTTCTGTTCACATACACAAATTGACCAAAAGTATGTGGCCACCTGCTCGTCGAACATCTCATTCCAAAATCATGGGCATTAATATGGAGTTGGTCCCCCCTTTGCTGCTTCCTTTCAGCCACAAGCATTAGTGAGGTAGGGCACTGATGTTGGGTGATTAGGCCTGCCTCGCAGTTGGCGTTCCAATTCATCCCAAAGGTGTTCGATGGGGTTGAGGTCAGGGCTCTGTGCAGGCCAGTCAAATTCTTCCACATCGATCTCGACAAACCATTTTTGTATGGATCTCTCTTTGTGCAGGGGGGCATAGTCATGCTGAAACAGGAAAGGGCCTTCTCAAACTGTTGCCACAAAGTTGGAAGCACAGAATCGTCTAGAATGTCATTGTATGCTGTAGCGTTAAGATTTCCCTTCACTAGAACTAAGGGACCTAGCCCGAACCATGAAAAACAGCCCCAGACCATTATTCCTCCTCCACCAAACTTTACATTTGGCACAATGCATTTGGGCAGGTAGCGTTCTCCTGGCATCCGCCAAACCCAGATTTGTCCGTCGGACAGCCAGATGGGGAAACGTGATTCATCACTCCAGAGAACGCGTTTCCACTGCTCCAGAGTCCAATGGCGACAAGCTTTACACCACTCCAGCCGACGCTTGGCATTGCGCATGGTGACCTTAGGCTTGTGTGCGGCTGCTCGGCAATGGAAACCCATTTCATGAAGCTCCCGACAAACAGTTATTGTGCTGACGTTGCTTCCGGAGGCAGTTTGGAACTCGGTAGTGAGTGTTGCAACCGACGACAGACGATTTTTACGCACTACGCACATCAGCGGTCCCGTTCTGTGAGCTTGTTTGGCCTACCACTTCGCAGTTGAACCATTGTTGCTCCTAGATGTTTTCACTTCACAATAACAGCACTTGCAGTTGACCGGGCTAGCTCTAGCAGGGCAGAAATTTGACGAACTGACTTGTTGGAAAGGTGGCATCCTATGACAGTGCCACGTTGAAAGTCACTGAGCTCTTCAGTAAGGCTATTCTACTGCCAATGTTTGTCTATGGAGAGTGCATGGCTGTGTGCTCGATTTTATACACCTGTCAGCAATGGGTGTGGCTGAATTAGTTGAATCCACTAATTTGAAGGGGTGTCCACATACACTACCGGTCAAAAGTTTTAGAACACCTACTCATTCATGGGTTTTATTTTTACTATTTTCTACATTGTAGAATAATAGTGAAGACATCAAAACTATTAAATAACACATATGGAATCATGTAGAAACCAAAAAAGTGTTAAACAAATCAAAATATATTTTATATTTGAGATTCTTCAAATAGCCACCCTTTGCCTTGATGACAGCTTTGCACACTCTTGGGATTCTCTCAACCAGCTTCATGAAGTAGTCACCTGGAATGCATTTCAATTAACAGGTGTGCCTTCTTAAAAGTTAATTTGTGGAATTTCGTTCCTTCTTAATGCGTTTGAGCCAATCAGTTGTGTTGTGACAAGGTAGGGGTGGTATACAGAAGATAGCACTATGTGGTAAAAGACCAAGTCCATATTATGGCAAGAACAGCTCAAATAAGCGAAGAGAAACGACAGTCCATCATTATTTTAAGACATGAAGGTCAGTCAATACGGAAAATTTCAAGAAGTTTCTTCAAGTGCAGTCACAAAAACCATCAAGCGCTATGATGAAACAGGCTCTCATGAGGACCGCCACAGGAATGGAAGACCCAGAGTTACCTCTGCTGCAGAGGATAAGTTCATTAGATTTACCAGCCTCAGAAATTGCAGCCCAAATAAATGCTTCACAGAGTTCAAGTAACATCTCAACATCAACTGTTCAGAGGAGACTGTGTGAATCAGGCCTTCGTGGTCGAATTGCTGCAAAGAAACCACTACTAAAGGACACCAATAATAAGAAGAGCCTTGCTGGGGCCAAGAAACACGAGCAATAGACATTAGACCGGTGGTAATTTGTCCTTTGGTCTGGAGTCCAAATTTGAGATTTTTGGTTCCAACCTGTCTTTGAGACGTGGTGTGGGTGAACGGATGAACTCTGCATGTTTATTTCCCACCGTAAAGCATGGAGGAGGTGGTGTTATGGTGTAATTTGCTGGTGACACTGTCTGTGATTTTATTTAGAATTCAAGGCACACTTAACCAGCATGGCTACCACAGCATTCTGCAGCGATACGCCATCCCATCTGGATTGTACTTAGTGGGACTATAATTTGTTTTTCAACAGGACAATGACCCAACACACCTCCAGGCTGTGTAAGGGCTATTTTACCAGGAAGGAGAGTGATGGAGTGCTGCGTCAGATGACCTAGCCTCCACAATTGTGCTTTTATGGTGATGTTGTTGCCGTCTTTTTCGTATTTGGGAGCCCCTCTTGATTTCAACATGTTGTGTGACGGTGTATGCAAATTGTATGTTACAGTTCGCTTTGCTGATGATTGCATCCAAAACATTGGCTCATCGAGGGATGTGAGATGCCGCTCGGCAAGCTCCCGCTGAAAAGTGCACGTTGCCAAAAACCTGAGGCTGGATGGCACTTTCATGTGCTCCGGAATGGCATGTGTTTGCCTTTAAGTAGGTCTTACATCGTCAAAGATCCTATACCATTGGTTTTGGGGAAAATCTGATGAGCCAATCTGTACTTTCTGGAAAAAAGTCCCACCGGCCTCTAAAAACACGCTCTGCGAAATGCAGCATGTGCCATATTTTCTAACTGAGCAAGATCAGCCATCTCTCATTTGATTTCCATTATCGCAGTCTTTTATAGTATTTCTACAATGGTTTTTAACACGTGCTTCTAATTTAACAAATTACTGTACTTTATATGGATTTATCATAACAAATGCACTGATGTGGTCAAATTATATATAGCCTGTCAAGATCTGTTGCATGAATTCTCAATGTATATACAACAAACATATTATTCACAATAAGCAGCGCCACGTGGCACTGTGCTTACCCATGGTCATGGCTGTGCATACATTTACTCACTCTCAAGGAAATGTTCATATTGATAAATCTCACACTTTGTGTGGAAACGATCCCACGCATGGTTTACTCACAGATTTGTGCCTGGACAAGGTTGATAAATGAGACCCCTGGTTCTGCTGATTGCACTTTTAAGACGGTCCCATAGACAGTGCATACTATTCCCTCATTGAAAGCCAACGCAAAGTCACATTTTGAAAACGGAACGGAGAAAAAAAGGGTACCTTGCTCTCTACCATCTGATTTTACATATCACTCATCATCCTAGGACCTTCAGTGGAAGATGTATTAACGAGCAAGCTCCGAATATCTAACCAATATCCAAACTGAAAACAAATCTACAGCGGTGAATCTCCGCTGACATTAGCTAGCAAACTAGGCTAGGTTAGCGTTGCTGTTTGAAAACGATACCAAAAAAAAAAGGTGAGATGGTGTCGGTAAGAGCAACTATCTAGTATATATATATCTATATATTTTAACAATACTTAGTCAACATGTTATTTTAAAAAATTAATTATTAGCTAGTTGCTCCTACCGACACCATGTCCCATTTTAGCTAGTTAGCCATGTGAAATATCAGAAATAGCCATTTTCATTGCTAGGACTCAGGAAGCCAACGTGGCTTGCGATTTTAACCAACTAACGTTATTTAAGTTAAAGTAGCTTTAGCTAGCTACGTGTTTCTGGATAAGCGCGTCAGCTAATGATGTATAATGTAAACGTTAGCTAGCAATGACCAGCCAGGACCGGTGAATCTAGCAACACGTCAGTTTGTCAATGTCAGGGGCGCTATCTTGTTTGCTAGCTAACGTTAGCTAACTATGTTTTCTTTTCAGGGGAGTAAGGAGGACCCAACACCTCAGCTTACCCCAGCAAAACAAGCCGAGTTTTGCCAGTGTGGGGTAGCCAGAATTTCGCCTAGTCACTCGGTCCAGTTTATTTGGCTTGACGACCCTGGATCAGAGCTGTGTGGAAACGCACCAGAACAATCGCTTAGACGAAAATAACGTTATACCTTGCAATCTAGCTAGGCAGCTAGCTTGTTGACGCTTAGCAAGAACAGTGCACGTTTCATTAATGGCCACAGCCGGAACCGTTTCTTCAGGTCCAGCGAGTTCCACTGGTAAGTGCACATTCTCTGATATCTCTACACCTAATAGCTACTCGTTTTGGAGATCATATGTCTGAGACTCTTTCCTGTAGAATGTGGATTGCGCTTTAAATACAGCCGTGTGACAGAACCCACCTTTGCCAAGTACACAACTCCATGTCCTAGGGTTGGCACTGTTCAGTAGTGCACAACATAGCTACTAACAGGAAAAAGTGACAATAACCGTTTAACCCCCCCATGCGATCCCACAGATGTGCAGACTCAGTTCTGGAGGAGACTATCCTCAGAGGTACCAGTGTGTCTGTGTGAAAACACAACTACACTGTCTGCTCCCATGTTTGTGGTGGTGTATGAAACCCTGTCTTTTCAGTGAGTTTTTCAGAGGTGACAAATAACTGAAACTTGGGTGTTCATGATGCATGCAGTAGTGTGTGATTATGTTTTTGGTTGACAAGACACTGCCACACAGGCAAACACATGTACTTTGTATTTTTATTTACATCATGTCTTTTGTTACTGTCAACAGGAAATTACAAAATAGTAGTGTGTGTGTGTGAGAGCTTGCAAACCACAGATAAATGCACTGGTTGACATGAACTATTCAGGTTCTGTCAATTTAGGCCTGTGAATGTTTGCATGCCTCGTTGTCTTGGAAACTGATTCAGCTGCCCAAAGCTGGGACAACTGGTAACTGATGACATCCCATGTACGCATCTTACTCCTTGGGCTATGTCATTTTAATAATAAGAATAATAATAGTATTACATTTCTATAGCGCTTTCAGTAACAATCTCAAAGCACTTAAAAAGCAAGCAACAAACAAGCAATACATCGTCATTAGTAGCCTAGCTAGTTCTTTTTTTATATTTTGTATTCATATTCAGTCTTAGGCTACAGAATGTGGTGTCTTGACACCTTTGAATGTATCCGTGGCCAAAAAACACCTTTTGTATAAACTGGGTCTAAGTAGGTTTTTGTGTGTTTTTAGACTGGTTGGGATTGGCATGACCAATGGCAACAATTGACAACGGCAGCTCTACGGTCTATTGCACAGTACAGTGTGTGCAGTAACCAACGGCTCTCAAATCTTTTTGCTTGTTCTGTCTTTCATTCTTTCTGTCCCTCACTTTTAATTTCTTTCTGTAGGCTCAACTGGGACTCGGAAGATGGCTTCTTTAGAGGTGAAAAGATGAAGATGTACAGTGTGGTTTCCACGCCAATATTTTATGCCTTCAGTAATCACACTAATATATATAAAGTAGGCTCACCCAAAGGTTGTGTTATGTTCTTTGTCTCTCCCTGTGACTCACCTCTTCTTCCACTCGCAGGGTCCAGGGTCCTCAAGCTCATCTCAAACTATAAAGAAGACTATTGGCCACCGTGGGCTTGACCCCACTGGGGAGACCACCTACAAGAAGGTCAGAGTTCTTGGTCAACTCCCATTCACACACTGTAACATACCTCATCTTTCCTACTTGAATGTTTTTCTCATGTCTTATGAATGAACATATTCAGTCCCTGTTGTCAGTTAATTACATAACATAATTGTGAAGATACATCTGCTGGTTTCTAAATGTCTCAGTTATTTATATTTCCCCATTTGAAGAGGTCATAGTCCTGAGATAACTGACAATGTGTGTATGGTTGTCGCAGCTGATTAGAAAGCAGTGAGCACTGTCAGGAATGTTTATGTAATTTGGGGTGTATTCACTAGGAACTAAACAGGACGAAATGGGGATGGACATATCTGAATTTGTCTAATAGGAACACTAGTTTTCATAAAAAAAAAACAATTTTATATATATATATATATATATATATATATTTGCTACGGTCTGCACCCCAGGCATGCACTTCAAACTCAAAGAGCACTCCTCTGCTGAGTTTAACATGTGCATATGTTCAACCTGGGAAATACGTTATCTTACCTTCTATTCAATCTCGATCTCTGCTCTGCCCTCCTCCAGACTACCTCATCTGCCCTGAAAGGTGCCATCCAGTTGGGCATCACACACACAGTGGGCAGCCTGAGTCAGAAGCCTGAGAGAGATGTACTCATGCAGGACTTTGAAGTGGTGGAGAGCATATTTTTCCCCAGGTGTGTGTGGTTTATAGAGAGGAAAGTATAGCGGGAGTAGGAAGCAAGGATGGGATTTTTATGTCAATATTGCAAGTTTGGAATTGTGACAACCAAATAGGTTAATTAATGTTCTCCCCAAATTTACCATGGCATTGTTGAATACTAGTTTCTGATTGGCTTGAAGGACATTCTAGAGCTTGCATTATTTCCCTATAACGCACTGTATATTTGCACGGTAGAATTCAATGGCTATAGTTCATTCTTACATGCTCTGTTTGAGCTGCTTTTGAAAGCAAATGTCGAATTGAAAACGTTTGCATTGTTGATTTTCATAATAGCAAGCTAGGACTGATGGTTCGGCTAGCTAAACTAGCAGGTTTGTTTGTTTACCAAGGCAACTACTATAGCTATCTAGTAATTGTGAAGATACATCTGCTGGTTTCTAAATGTCTCAGTTATTTATAGTATCTTTCTCTGTGCTCTGCCCTGGTGGGACAAAAAGAAGGCTGACATCGACAGGCCCGACATTCAGTACACCAGCAACTGTGACAAAGTTGCCTCTGTAGCCTGAACACTGACTTTCACATCGACCTTGCTCTCCAGTGCTCCCAGCTATTTTTGCTGATAAACGTTATACCGTTCAAGAGGTTGTTGAGAATATTTCCTAGTGCCAGATTTCACATACCTGAGAAGAGTATTGAAGTAGAGTAGGCCTTTTCTATATATCTTTAGTGTTTTTAAAGATGCCTATGTTGAGCATTTTAATTACGGTCTCATTTTAAGAGGCCTATTCAACAAAATGTTTTTTAAACAAATGAATACAATAGATTGTTTACTTAGAATGAATGCTGTTTTTTAAGTTTCTGGATCTTCACTGGGCTCAAATGAAAAATACTTTTTCTTCTGGTGACCCTGTGGAGAAATACAAACCAACAGTAGCCTGTGAAATTTGTAAGTCGCTCTGGATAAGAGCGTCTGCTAAATGACGTAAATGTAAACGTAAATGTAGTAAACTTGCTAGCTACTTCAGTGGATGTTGAACACATTTCTAGCAGCAAATGTGTTAAATTATAGCTATGATATAAAAGGGATAATCAACTCGTGGCTCTATGTGTTCTCTGGAAAATAATGCAACTCTGTGGAAGGTTAGTTCCACTCTGCTAGTGGGTTGTGGAACATACGTTTCACGTCGTTCATTATTTTCCAAAGAACGCATAGCCTCTCATTGATTATCCCTTAATGTTCTCCTCTGCTTCAATATTGCATTCTTAACAAGTAGAATTGTGTTTACGTAAGTAGGCTCATGTTCTCTGTCTGCTGTCACTTATTGATGTATTAATCACACTCCTATATTCGTCCTTAGTGAGGGCAGTAACCTGACCCCAGCCCACCACTACAGTGACTTCAGGTTCAAGACCTACGCTCCCATCGCCTTTCGCTACTTCAGGGAGATGTTTGGTATCCGACCAGACGATTACCTGGTACAACACTCTCTCAACCCACCTTGCTGTCCTTCTTCTGTTGCTGGAAGCTAAATGAGAGCAGGAGAAAATAAGGAGAGAGAAGACTGAACGTAGTATAGTAAAACAACAGATTATAAAGGAGATCAACAGGGAAATCATAGATGGTAAAGGCAATACTGGAAGTGGAATGGTCTATTTAACTACCGTATAAACTTCAATTGAAAGCCCAGTCTCAAATAGCCGCTGGGCAACGGCACACATTTCAAATAAACGCCCTTTTTCAAATAAAAGGCCAGTCTAAATGAATTGTTTAAGAGGTTACTATTAATTGTTTACAAGGTTTAATGGTTGATTTGTTACATTACATAATTCACTAATGACTCTAAAAAATTATGACAATCATTTGTTTTTATTGCCAGTAAAAAAAACTGTTAGCTATTGGCTGCTAACAGCTGCTAGCTAACTGGCAAGCACAAAAACAGTCAACAACTTCGGGAGTACAGACCCCCAGAAATCGGCTGATCGCTCTCTAGTGGCGAAAGTAAGAACTGCCGAAAATGCAGTCAGAGGATAATCATTATTTTTTTCTCGAAATAGAGGCATACTAAATACAAAAGAAATGTGACACTGTGTGTAAATGATAACACATTAGTGCAGTGTTAGAAATTGCGTAATTCAAATCTGGTATTGGAATAAGAGAACATAATCAAGAGATATTCAATCCAAGCTAAATTTATTATATGCAAAATGTATGTATGATAAGTATGAAGGTTCGTATACGGGCTCACTGAAAAACCACGCAGGGCAGACAGAGAACTAGAAGTATTGTTTACAGATTCTTTCTCAAATACTCTGACAGAAAGCCTCCACCTCTTCTGTTGGCCAACCAGAGCAAAGGACTGAGTGTGGTCCAGACTCCATTCAGCCAATCCGTTGGCGCAGGGGTTGGTCCCAACTCCTCGGCACTCCATTTGTTGCACTGTTGCCAGGCATAAGTTGCTATGATAATAACCTGCGGAGTCAGCACCCAAAAGACACCATTCCACTGTATTCCATGTACCCATGTTCAAGGACAGTTTCACAGACAACAAAGAGAGAGTGTTCGTATCTGTAAGAAATACAAGTCTTATCTGTCCTATCCCTAACGTTCCTTACATGAATAACAGCCTGTTATGTGAAACAATTTATATCAGTACAGTTCATTAATGCATTCCTTCCAAGCTATTCATCACATACAGATCCAATTATGAGAAAAATAGAACCCAACAGCAGGAAATGAATAAATGTATTAAAATGCTGGAATTTAACAATTAACTATGCACATGAGCTGTGTGCATTAAGGAAATAGATGTCTGGCTCAAATAGAAGCCTGTCTCTAATAAGTGCCTGTTGTGTCCAGTGATTTAAGCAAATAAATGCCCAGGCTATTAATTGAAGTTTGACGGTAACAAATAATGAATCACTGTTTTTGTTGCAGTACTCGCTGTGTAATGAGGAACTGATTGAGCTGTCCAACTCTGGAGCCAGTGGATCTCTGTTCTACGTCTCCAGCGATGATGAGTTCATCATTAAGACTGTGCAGCACAAAGAGGCCGAGTTCTTACAGAAACTATTGCCTGGCTACTTCATGGTAAGAGAGTGAGTGTGGGTACGCATGTGCATGCAAGAGTGTGCGTGTCTGTGTGGTAATCCATTGTGTACCCTATGTTTTGTCCTTTGAGTTACCAAGTTGACCTAGTAATTGCTACACAATTCAAGATTTGTCCTGAGTGTTTCCTGATTTACTATGTGTGTTGCATTCTATGCTAATAAAACAGTACCAAAGTGGATTTGATTGATATACGTGGACCCCAATCCTTTCCCCTCCACTCGCTCTCTAGAACCTGAACCAGAACAAGCGAACCTTGCTGCCAAAGTTCTACGGTCTCTACTGTGTCCAGGCGGGGGGAAAGAACATCCGCATCGCTGTCATGAACAACCTGCTCCCGCGCGCCGTGCGCATGCACCTCAAGTACGACATGAAGGGCTCCACCTATAAGAGACGAGCCTCGACCAAGGAGCGAGAAAAGGCTGTGCCCACATTCAAGGACCTGGACTTCATTCTGGACTTTCCCGACGGTCTGCTGCTGGAGCCGGACAACTACAACGCCCTCAGCAAGACCATCCAGAGAGACTGCCTGGTGAGAGGGAGGGAGAATGGGTCTGTAGAGGTGTTCGTGGGTGGTAGTGTATATTTTAGGGCCGGGACGATACCAGTATTGTGATACTTGTTAGTATCGTGGCTAGGAAACAAAACACAAAGCGGATTTAACCTCTTAAACTCTGATGCCCTCTGGTGGCATTTTCTAAACGACGCATAATATTATATACTACCCTAAGTACATTTTGGTTTCAAAACTATAAGTCCTACAAACACATGCTTAGTACTGTTGGAAAGGTACAGTGAGGGGAAAAAAGTATTTGATCCCCTGCTGATTTTGTACATTTGCCCACTGACAAAGAAATGATCAGTCTATAGTTTTAATGGTAGGTTTATTTGAACAGTGAGAGACAGAATAACAACAACAAAATCCAGAAAAACGCATGTCAAAAATGTTATAAATTGATATGCATTTTAATGAGGGAAATAAGTATTTGACCCCCTCTCAATCAGAAAGATTTCTGGCTCCCAGGTGTCTTTTATACAGGTAACGAGCTGAGATTAGGAGAACTCCCTTTAAGAGTGTGTTCCTAATCTCAGTTTGTTACCTGTATAAAAGACACCTGTCCACAGAAGCAATCAATCAATCACATTCCAAACTCTCCACCATGGCCAAGACCAAAGAGCTCTCCAAGGATGTCAGGGACAAGATTGTAGACCTACACAAGGCTGGAATGGGCTACAAGACCATCGCCAAGCAGCTTGGTGAGAAGATGACAACAGTTTGTGCGATTATTCGCAAATGGAAGAAACACAAAAGAACAGTCAATCTCCCTCGGCCTGAGGCTCCATGCAAGAGCTCACCTCGTGCAGTTGCAATGATCATGAGAACGGTGAGGAATCAGCCCAGAACTACACGGGAGGATCTTGTCAATGATCTCAAGGCAGCTGGGACCATAGTCACCAAGAAAACAATTGGTAACACACTACGCCGTGAAGGACTGAAATCCTGCAGCGCCCGCAAGGTCCCCCTGCTCAAGAAAGCACATATACATGCCGTCTGAAGTTTGCCAATGAACATCTGATTGATTCAGAGGAGAACTAGGTGAAAGTGTTGTGGTCAGATGAGACCAAAATCGAGCTCTTTGACATCAACTCAACTCGCCGTGTTTGGAGGAGGAGGAATGCTGCCTATGACCCCAAGAATACCATTCCCACCGTCAAACATGGAGGTGGAAACATTATGCTTTGGGGGTGTTTTTCTGCTAAGGGGACAGGACAACTTCACTGCATCAAAGGGATGATGGACGTGGCCATGTACCGTCAAATCTTGGGTGAGAACCTCCTTCCCTCAGCCAGGGCATTGAAAATGGGTAGTGGATGGGTATTCCAGCATGACAATGACCCAAAACACACGGCCAAGGCAACAAAGGAGTGGCTCAAGAAGAAGCACATTAAGGTCCTGGAGTGGCCTAGCCAGTAACCAGACCTTAATCATATAGAAAATCTGTGGAGGGAGCTGAAGGTTCGAGTTGCCAAACATCAGCCTCGAAACCTTCATGACTTGGAGAAGATCTGCAAAGAGGAGTGGAACAAAATCCCTCCTGAGATGTGTGCAAACCTGGTGGCCAACTACAAGAAACATCTGACCTCTGTGATTGCCAACAAGTGTTTTGCCACCAAGTACGAAGTCATGTTTTGCAGATGGGTCAAATACTTATTTCCCTCATTAAAATGCAAATCAATTTATAACATTTTTGACTTGCGTTTTTCTGGATTTTTTTGTTGTTATTCTGTCTCTCACTGTTCAAATAAACCTACCATTAAAATTATAGACTGATTATGTCTTTGTCAGTGGGCAAATGTACAAAATCAGCAGGGGATTAAATACTTTTTTCCCTCACTGTAAGAACTGTGGGATTCTGAAAAAGGTGACAGGAAACAGTGTGATTACTACATAGCAATGCAACAGGCCCAAAAAACTGAAATGTACTGTTTTTAGGGCGGGGTGGGGGAGGAGCCCCTCCAATTGTCCCCATGTTGGGGAATAAAATGTCAAAGTATAAAACATTTTATAATGGTCAGGTCTTTTACCTAATGGTGGCACTCTAACCATGCGTAAATTCCAATAGGAACACAGTCATTTAAAAATTGCAGGGCTTGTGCAACGTACCATTCCTTAATTTTACGTCTTACAGGAATGATGTACATGAGGAGAAAGCTGAAGTCACTTCCTATCCATTGATAGGTGGATAGGTATTGTTGGGAAGGGCCCGTAAGTAAGCATTTCACTGTTAGTCTACACCTGTTGTTTACGAAGCATGTGACAAATATGATTTGATTTTGTAAATATATCCCCTGTCTGATTTCCAGTTCGTCCACTAGATTGGGGGCCTGTAGCTTTCATGGGGGGAGTTAACAGGCTAAACAACTCAGTGTTTAACCACTCAGAGTTTAACGGGTTAACTAATTTAAGAAAACAAATCCAATTTTATTTCTCACATGCGCCGAATACAACAGTGCAGTTTTTTTTTTTTTTTTTTTTAAGTAAGAAAATATTTGCTATAAAATAAACGGAACAAAAAAAAGTAACACAAAATAACAATAACGTGACTATATACAGGTGGTACCGGTACCGAGTCAATGTGTGGGGGTACAGGTTAGTCAAGGTAATATATACATGTACAGTAGCAGTCAAAAACTGGACACACCTGCTCATTCAAGGGTTTCTTTATTTTTTACTATTTTCTACATTGTAGAATAATAGTGAAGACATCAACTATGAAATAACAGACGATAGCCCTATTTGGTAAAAGACCAAGTCCATATTATGGCAAGAACAGCTCAAATAAGCAAAGAGAAACAACAGTCCATCATTACTTTAAGACATGAAGGTCAGTCAATCTGGAAAATTGCAAAAACCATCAAGCGCTATGATGAAACTGGCTCTCATGAGGACCGCCACAGGAATGGAAGACCCAGAGTTACCTCTGCTGCAGAGGATAAGTTCATTAGAGTTACCAGCCTCAGAAATTGCAGCCCAAATAAATGCTTCACAGAGTTCAAGTAACAGACACATAAATAATAATATGCCATTTAGCAGACGCTTTTATCCAAAGCGACTTACAGTCATGTGTGCATACATTTTTACGTATGGGTGGTCCCGGGGATCGAACCCACTACCCTGGCGTTACAAGCGCCGTGCTCTACCAATTGAGCTACAGAGGACCACATCTCAACATCAACTGTTCAGAGGGGACTGTGTGAATCAGGCCTTCATGGTCGAATTGCTGCAAAGAAACCACTACTAAAGGACACCAATAAGAAGAAGAGACCTGCTTGGGCCAAGAAACTCGATCAATGGACATTAGACCGGTAGAAATGTGTCCTTTGTTCTGGAGTCCAAATTGGAGATTTTTGGTTCCAACCGCCGTGTCTTTATGAGACGAAGTGTGGGTGAACAGATAATTTCCGCTTGTGTATTTCCCACCATAAAGCATTGAGGAGGTGTTATGGTGTGGGGGTGCTTTGCTGGTGACACTGTCTGTGATTTATTTAGAATTCAAGGCACACTTAACCAGCATAGTTTGGGCTTAGTGGGACTATCATTTGTTTTTCAACAGGACAATGACCAAACACACCTCCAGGCTGTGTAAGGGCTATTTTGCCAAGAAGGAGAGTGATGGACTGCTGCATCAGATGACCTGGCCTCCACAATCCCCCGACCTCAACCCAATTACATTTACGTCATTTAGCAGACACTCTTATCCAGAGCAACTTACAAATTGGTGCATTCACCTTATAGCCAGTGGGATAACCACTTTACAATATGTTATTATTATTTGTATTTTTTGGGGGTGGGGTAAGGGGGGGGTAGAAGGATTACTTTATCATATCCCAGGTATTCCTTAAAGAGGTGGGGTTTCAAGTGTCTCCGGAAGGTGGTGAGTGACTCTGCTGTCCTGGTGTCGTGAGGGAGCTTGTTCCACCATTGGGGTGCCAGAGCAGCGAACAGTTTTGACTGGGCTGAGCGGGAACTGTGCTTCCGCAGAGGTAGGGGGGCCAGCAGGCCAGAGGTGGATGAACGCAATGCCCTCGTTTGGGTGTAGGGACTGATCAGAGCCTGAAGGTACGGATGTGCCGTTCCCTTCACAGCTCCGTAGGCAAGCACCATGGTCTTGTAGCAGATGCGAGCTTCAACTGGAAGCCAGTGGAGTGTGCGGAGGAGCGGGGTGACGTGAGAGAACTTGGGAAGGTTGAACACCAGACGGGCTGCGGCATTCTGGATGAGTTGTAGGGGTTTAATGGCACAGGCAGGGAGCCCAGCCAACAGCGAGTTGCAGTAATCCAGACGGGAGATGACAAGTGCCTGGATTAGGACCTGTGCCGCTTCCTGTGTAAGGCAGGGTCGTACTCTCCGAATGTTGTAGAGCATGAACCTACAGGATCGGGTAACCGCCTTGATGTTAGCGGAGAACGACAGGGTGTTGTCCAGGGTCACGCCAAGGCTCTTTGCACTCTGGGAGGAAAACACAACGGAGTTTTCAACCGTGATGGCGAGATCATGGAACGGGCAGTCCTTCCCCGGGAGGAAGAGCAGCTCCGTCTTGCTGAGGTTCAGCTTGAGGTGGTGAGCCGTCATCCACATTGATATGTCTGCCAGACATGCAGAGATGCGATTCGCCACCTGGTTATCAGAAGGGGGTAAGGAGAAGATTAGTTGTGTGTCGTCTGCGTAGCAATGATAGGAGAGGCCATGTGAGGATAATTGACCAATTGAGATGGTTTGGGATGTGTTGGACTGCAGAATGAAGGAAAGCAGCCAACAAGTGCTCAGCGTATGTGGGAACTCCTTCAAGACTGTTGGAAAAGCATTCCAGGTGATGCTGGTTGAGAGAATGCCAAGTGTGCAAAGCTGTCATCAATGCAAAGGGTGGCTATTTGAAGAATCTCAAATATATAATATATTTTGATTTGTTTAGCACTTTATTTTTTGTTTACTACATGATTCCATATGTTTTTTTTTTTTCATAGTTTTGA